TGACTCGCTAACTTGATGCATTTTACCAACTGAAGGCTCCCTAAAATGGAAACATCACATTTTGGTAGCTTATTAAGTCACGTCTATGTGTCCCCAAAGCACCACTGGCTGGGGTTGCTGCAATGAGTTATCGGTAACCGAATGCCAGTCAAAGTGTTTTCCCACTAACACATTAAATTTAATCGGCCCCATTATACTTTCATCTTGGCATCTTTGCACTGAACCAACACACATGACTCACGTGCATACACACTTGTGCACACGTGCATGCACATACAAACTGACATACATGACTCACGTGCATACACACTTGTGCACATGTGCATGCACATACAAACTGACATACATGCTCACACATCTAACCTCTTTGAATTTAGCGAGAAGTGTCTATTCATAAAGAGAGAAAGCAGAGGGATTGTATCTCTGTCTGTTTTGTGAAAATGGATGGGCAGACCCCCCAGTCTACATGCTACAGCCTTTGCAAAAATATGTATTACGGCTCGTAGGAATACAACCCCCACAAACCCTCTGATTTTTAGCACTATATCTTCAAATAGTCTATGTCGCAAACCACAATACAATTAGAAATTGACTTTGAGTGCTTGTGGTCTGTAAACAGAAGAGATGGCACTGCATATACAGGACCATCTAACTCCCATACCATTTGGACTTTTTATTATACCGCCATAATAGTGTTGCCATTTCAACAAGAAAGCTATCTAATGAAAAGAGAAATTAAAAGGATTCAGAGTGTCAAATTTCATAGGAACGTCACAAAAATTCTAAAAAATATTTCTGATCAAAGAGGCTGCTGAGTCTAAAATGTGCCTGATCAGCAATAATTCTCTACAAAGATCAGATCTGCAGCTTTTCTTTACAACTTGTTAAATAGCCGTTATACCTCGGGGCTGCTGTTTGTGATATCCCAAAGTTGAAAACTCTTGTTCTAAAGGGTGTCTCTGAAAAAACGTTAACGTGCACAGGTTGTTGGCTTCATAAGCGATGGAGCTATGATGTGCAGATACAAAGGAGCAGCCACACTTCTGTGTGGCAAGAATAACCCTAATCTGACTGTGATTCACTGCATCATTCACAGTTAAAGCCTGGTACTGTAAAAATAACATTATAGAGTGAATTCACATACATTAACACATTAACTTTTAGACTTCAGAAGTCTACTACTGTTCTCAGTTAATTGAACAGAATCACCTCTGTCCCTTTCTGGATAAAAGAGGGGTGACATGACATGCTCCACATGAAAGCCAGAAAGTCCATCATCAAAGCTGAGCGTTTTCTTATGGAGCTTAGAAATTTGCACTCCTGTATTTTGACATTATTTCATATTCACTGTTAAAGTTAAATGGCACAACTAGCCAAATAGCTAAGTGGAAGGGAAATTTAATTCTGGCATCTTAAAGCATTTACATTATTGCATGCGATGGTGAATGTCTGAAAAGAAATATATGGCATTTAGAATATTGTGCATATTGATTAATTAAATAAAATACATCACAATATTGTAAATGCTGTGATTTTATTTTCAAGCTCTAAACTTGATTATTTAAAGTTCACAAATGTTAGATGCACAGCAGTAACAAACACTATCAGGCTTCAGAGCATACAGGAACGCTGTGGTTCGTGAATTAGAGCAGGAATCCGCCCCCCTTTTGTTATTTTTTTCTTTCCACAAATTGCACTTCGGTTTTACACGTATACAAGAACAAACAGGTTAGCACAAAGACAAAAAGAAACAAGTAAAGAAGAAACAAGGACCATTTAATGACTTGATAATATAGCTGGTATTCTGGTATCCATCCACTTGTATTCACCGTTACCGTGAGCCAAAAGTCATTCATCACTGTATGTGAACAAGGCTCCCACACTGTTATTACATACATTGTTTGTTATTCTTTTCCTGCACGTGGGAAATGAACTCCCCAGTGTGCGTTTCTCTCCATCTGTAATGTTGATAAGAGCTGTTGTGTTTTTTGTGTTTGTGCCATGCATTATGCTTGCAGGGTGGGAGGGTGGACAGTGCTTCTCTATGGAAATGGCATTGACAAATATTGACAATCCCACACAGGGACAGGCAAAAAATAAATAAATAAATAAAAGCTGATTTTATCTCAAACTGACTTCAACATTTTGATTACGTGCAGATGAATGGCCAAAATAGTAACTTTTCCAAAGATTGATTCTACATTCATATGGAAGTAAAGAAATGTGGAAGACTGTGTATAAACTATTTTTTAAAAAGCTGTTTGTCAGTATAGGCATGTGTAATAATTTCAAAGGGGTCATGTTGATGGAAGCGGGCTTATCATTAAGAGGAAGCCTGCAATCACTTTTCATTCAACTCCACCCAAGCTGCAAACAAGCTCAGTAGTGAGTGTTAAGTTACCATAAACGATAAGACAAATCAGACACATTTTGTGTATTTCAAAAATTTTAACTCTATAACTACAAATTACTATTTTAACATTTTCATGCATTGGAAATCGAACAAAAAATTTGATGCCAATTCCAAAAGGATCCGAATGTGAGGTGATTTTAAACATGAGCTGCAGGAAAACTGTAATATTATACACTTTACAAGAAGCCCAGGGTAGTAATAAATGTGTCTGACACTAAGCAGAAACAGTGCTGAGTGGCTAAGCTAACATCCTGTGGTGTGTTCACATACACACACCCACTGACACACACACCAGCTGTATGTTGACAGATGTGGTTCCATTGCTGCTGTTTTAGTCTTCGACTCAGCAGGGTAATTTTACCTCTCAAACATTTCTCCAAAATAGAATTAAAAGCTGAAAATAGTTTGTGATGGGAATGTGTCTTCCTCCAACAACAACAACAAAAAAAAAACACTTAAGTTTTTCTTCAAAAAACGGTATTGTAAGTATTGTGGATTTGTGTTTTTCCCCTTATGTGCATGGAAATATGGACAGACAACATTTAAGCAGAAAAGGAAAAAAGGTTATTGCACAAAATTCACATAAGACAAATATAGACTGGACAGGCATATGAAACCACTCGGCGACGTGATGTGATTTCTAACCACTTTTACCATTTTTTCTGGTTTTCCTCCGTACCTACACCACTTCCTACAAAAAAGACAATGTATTTACCTTGACTTTGTCTACCATTCAAAGATTTTGTTTTACGATTCATCATGCGTGTTTTTTCTGAAGCAGGCTGAAAGATGATTCAATACAGTCCTTTTAAATTAAAAAAATAGATATAAATGGTAAATGGCCTGTATTTTATATAGCGCTTTTCTAGTCCCTAAGGACCCCAAAGCGCTTTACATATTCAGTCATCCACCCATTCACGCACACATTCACACACTGGTGATGGCAAGCTACATTGTAGCCACAGCCACCCTGGGGCGCACTGACAGAGGCGAGGCTGCCGGACACTGGCGCCACCGGGCCCTCTGACCACCACCAGTAGGCAATGGGTGAAGTGTCTTGCCCAAAGACACAACGACCGAGACTGTCCAAGCCGGGGCTCGAACCGGCAACCTTCCGATTACAAGGCGAACTCCCAACTCTTGAGCCACGATCGCCCCATATATATATATATAATATATATATTATTATATATATTATTATGTTTTTTAAATTGATGGTACATTCTATAACTACCCACAGAGTTGGTTATTCAAAGACCTCTTTTAACACAACAGCCAGATTGCAAGGGCTTTCAAAGTAACTGGACATGTAGTTATTATGTTTCAGTTTATATTTAACTATATAGTTCCAAATTACAACAGTCACCTCAAGGCTATATAGACTCCAGAGACACTGTTTGGGCAGCAGCATGTCATTTAAAAACAGATCATGCACAAAAGACTCAGATAGGAGATGACCACACAAGTGAAGATGAAACTCAAAAACAGTTGGATACTTTCTAACAACATGTGTTAGAAAATATAACAGGGAAGTAGGAGAAACATTATATTATTATATATAATATTCTTGTATAACATACTGAATTGACAGTCAAGCTACGTGGTGCAAAAAAAAATCAATAATAATAATAATAATGATAATCTAAGATGTAGGCATGCATATCTATCTTTTGCTAGAATTTTGAGGATTACTGTGAATATAAACTCACAATGATCATTAATCCTCAAAGAGCAGAAAGGCCCATTTGTAGTTTGCAAATACAAATGTAGGCTCCTGAGTCACAGCTCAATGAGCTGAAACAAAAGGCTAATGCAAAGAATACACCGGAAAATAGCATTGAAAGCATGTGACTGCATATTGGTGGTGTTTCTGTTATGCTATTGCCTTAATAATTATTGCCAGCTGAACTACTGTGTTGTTGTACTGCTGTTTCACATTCTTTGTGCTCAGATTCAGTTAAATGCATCAAAACTAATATCCTTGTTAAACATGATATTCTTGAACATAAAACCAAACCTAATAAAGAGCTTTTCAGGGCAAAGAAATTGATCTAGTATGCTGAATCTGCAGCATACTAAGTAACTCACCTGTTACAGTGAAGACCAGGCTTAAGACAGCGAAAGACCACAATAAGCTAGAGCTAAATGGGGCCCGGTGAGATCATCATCATGTACAATATAGCAAGTCTGCTAATGTGGGCTTAACAACTCCAGGAAGTCAATGTGTTATGTTTATCCATCTAATTGCTTTTGAAGAACCTAAACTTTGAGTGTTATGTTGTAAAAAGTCAGCATTCATTACCTAATGTATTTGTTTTATCTAGTTTCTCAATGCAATGTACTTTCACATTACTAAAAACATCCAGGAAATGAATTCTAACGGATGCTCAGCTGGCTTTAACCAAGACTGGGCTTTGCCCTCAAACTTCCTCAACATAGGAACAAATAATTTTTTAGCTCATAACTTCAACTAAACTACTCCAAAAAAGGGGCTGCCAGGTTAACAACAGACTTCAGGCTGATTTAGAATCTTTTTTTTTAATGTGACGCAAAACAGTGGAAAGAACATAGAAGTGAATGGACTTACTCAATCTGTGTCCATAGAAGAATCAGCAGTATATTCAGTAGACAGTAGAAAAAGCACCTTAGCTCATTCCTCATAAAAAGGCAAAATGCGAACAGCAGCCACATACAGCTGAAAACGGAAAAAAACGGAAGATTAGTAGCATCTAAAAGTCTTCAACACACATTCATTACCAAGTAGGACTTCTTGATTCCACTTCCTCTAAAGTTGCATATCACATATTCAGAGAAGTCCCTCTTAAACACATACAGAGCATACATACAGCGTGCACCACTTCCTCTTTTCAGTTCCCCCACCTGGTGGAGGGGGAGGGGAGCTGGAGTTTAAAAAGAAGTCTGGGCCAATAGAAATCCAGCAAATATCTGACCTCTGTGGAGGTTATTCATCCAGGTAGGAGTCCAGCAATATCATTAGAATGCAATCGTACACTGAGGCAGCAAAATTCACTAAATAAGAAGAAATATGCAAAGTTATTTTTTGTTATATAATCTAGCACAACAAGGTCCTTCTAGAGTTTTTAGAAGTAATGTATCTATAATATATTATACTTTTAAAAGTTAAATGCAGTAGTTCATCAGCATTGCAATTCATGTTTTAAAGGACGTTCTTTTCAAGTAAAGATCATCTGCACACTGTGTGTGAAACAAACAGCGACTATAAAAAAGGTGAAACCTCAGAGAAGAGGAATTAGCGCTCCCTCGCTCGCTTGCTCTTCACTCAGTTTACAAGATGTGATGACCTATTTGGTTGCAGTGACCTTCCTGCACAACCAGATTTCGATACTTCTTTAGATAGAAAGGCAGTGTTATTTTGTGCGACTGTTTAAGCTCTAAGCTTCTAAAGGTGGCCTTAATGGCCAATTTCACTAATTGATAAATAGATGTTACACTATTATCAAGAGACATTTTTTATATATTTTATAAAATTAACAGCTCTTTGGTATGCAACACCTGAGTGCAGTAGAGTCAAGTGAGTACTGAGATGAACCAGCTAGGAACATTAACGTCTTTGTCAGTCTTTTTGCATCCTATATACATATACATATATACATATATATATACACACACATATATATATACATACATACATATATATATATATATACATACATACATATACATACATACATATACATATACATACATACATATACATACACATATATATATACATACACATATATATATACATACACATATATATATACATACACATATATATATACATACACATATATATATA